CTCCCCCGGCGGAGGGGGCGGCAGGGATGCTCGCAGCCAGGTGGGCTACCCTCGGGTGCTGGCAGTGATTAGGCTTTGCTATTTATTGATTTAAAAAAAAAAAAAAAGGAAGTTTTTATTAAAAGGCTTATTCCTCACCTTTAAAATTTTTAGGTGAAAACTTCTGCAGAGAAATTAATTTTCCCGTAAAAAAAGGTTAAAATTTTTATAAAGCGATCACTTTTTTTTTTTTTTTTTTCTCCTAACTTGCTTTCTGCCTTGTGCTTTTTTTCCTCGCTGGAAGGAGGACGGGAGGAAAAGTGAGCGGGAGAAGAGTTGTGCTTTAGGAAGGAGAGGAGAGGCAGGGGGAGCGGGAGGCAGAGCCCCGGGTGCAGGCAGGGCCCCGCCCCCTGCCGATGCCCCAGCGCTCCAGCTCTCACCAGCTGGGTTTTGTGGGGAATTACCAGTTTACCACCGCTTAAAACATTTGCAGGAGAGGCTCAGTTCCTCCAAACTCCACCTGAGCTGCTTGCACAGGGGGCTGAGGTCGCTGGGACTCCGTGGTCGGAGGCTCCTTTGCAGTGTTCCCCCTGATGTCGGCCAAGGACAGCTTTGGTCCAGCCCCGTTCCGCACCGTCTGCCTTTCCACTGCTCTGTGCCTCAGTTTCCCTCTGTCTCCCTCGGGGGGGCCTTTTAGAGACCGGTCTGAAAGTGTTTTGGGGTCAGCGTATGCAGTCAAGTTGTGCGTGAGTGCCACGGGGGCACGCGAAATTGCGGAGCATTTGCTCTCCGGGACAGAAAGCTTTTTTTTTTTTTATTATATTTCCCCCCCCTCCTCCTCTTCAGGCACGCGCTTCAATTGAGGCAATTCATCGTCAGCACCCGAGCCTCCGGTGGCCCGGCTCTGACAGAGATAAGATGCCTCTTTCCTATAAATCTAGAAAAAAAAAAAAATATATACATAAAGGTTGATGTGCTCTGAAATGGGTTTTTGCTTTGTTCCTCTATTTTCCCCCGTGTGTATTAACCCCAGGGACACCATGAAAGAGCCGGTGCGCCTGGAGCACCTGCTGGGGTCAGGCCTCCTCATTAGTTTTTTCGGTCAGCACCGAATAAGCCCGGCCACGGTGCGGGGACGTGCGGCCGCCCGCCCTGCCGCTCGCTGCCAGCGTCCCGCTTTTCCCTGCCTGACTTGCTTCTCCGCAGCCATCCCGCCTCCAGCTGTGGGGGCGTTGGAGGAAAAGATGAGATCAAGTTGAGGGGAAAAATTGGCTGATTCCTCCAACCCCTTTGTTCCCGGGGCCCCGGTAAGCGCCGGTGCTGTGCTGTGCCGGCCCTGAGCTTTGGGATGGGGGATGCACACCGGGGATGCGGGATGAGCACCGGAGATGGATTGGGGATGCACACCGGGCTCAGGGCTGTTAGCGGGGTTGGCCATGCCAATGCCACTGACTTTCCCTCTTCTCTCCTCCTCCCCGCAGAATCAGGCCCCCCCCGGGCTCTACACGAAGACCTGCGATCCAGCCACCTCTCCCAACACCCCGGATGTGCTGGAGATCGAGTTTGAGAAGGGTAAGCGCCTCCTCGCAGCTGGGCCCTCGCATCTCTGCCCCTCAAAGCCGAACCCCGCTCCCCAGCGTGGACTGGGGGCCACCGGCATCCAGGAGCATCCCTGGGGCAGGGGCGGGCAGGGTGAGCCCCGACTCATGGCATCAGGGATCAGGATGGTGCTTGCAGCACGTTGGGGCTCTTCAAGGCGTGCAGAAGGTCTGGGTGCATCTCGTGGGGCTCGCTGGGAACCCCCAGAGAGTGGAGAGGGGTCCAAGCCCCCACCCCAGCCATCGAGGTGCTGCAGGCATGGGGTCCTTCTGCTGCAGGGTGGCACACAGGTGGCCCTGGGGACACGCAGGTGGCCACAGCCGTTGTCACGGTTGGGAAGATGCTCCAGGAGGATTTGGCCAGTGGTCCTATCAGTGTCACACAAAGGAGATGAGGACACCCAGTCTCACCCCAGGGGACACACGGCAGGGCCCAGCCCCGGAATTGTCACCCGGAGAAGGGACACGGAGCAGCATCTCCCTCCCCCGCCAGCCACCGGCATCCCCATGCCAC